AATCTTATTTCAATAAAAAAAAAGGAAAATTGAAGATGGAATCAACGGAAGAATAATAATTTTATATAGATCGTTTGATATATATATCGATTATGCTATAACGAATTGTATTGCTTTTTTGTAGACTTTGTAATATATATTTTTTTTAATTTTTAATTTTTTTTTTTAGTAACGCGTTTTAAAAAATGATAGAATTTTCGATTGAGTTGTAATTTTTTTCTTTTTTCTATATCTGCTTTTTTGTGAGATATATAATATACATAAATATAATACATTATATTCAATTTATTCCAATATTAAACGGCAATAATTATATAAATGTGGTTATAAAATTACTATACATTTTCTACATAAAGAAGTCTTTTTACACAATATACAAAATTATTGAAATATATCTTATAATAGGACACAAATTCAATATATTTCAATGAGATAACCTTGCAAGTCTACACACAGCCTCCATAGCTTGAAACAGTCTAACATAGCTGGCGTAATTTTAGCAGTTATTGCTGTGATTCGTTGTTTTAATTGTTCTATGTTGTTGATTCTCACCTAGTATATTTTCGATTTAATAAAAGACAAAAAATCTAGTCAGATCTTGGTGAGGCACGACCAATCCATCTATCGTGAAAAGTTTCATTTAGGTGGTTCCAAATAATTATATTAAAATAGGATATTATTTTATCCTTTTGGAAAACAATATCCATAATCCTATTCTGTATCAAATGTTTTGCAAATTACATAAATTTTTGTAATATAGGATTGGCCTAAACTTGTAAAATCATCACATTTAAATTTATTGAAATTGTATCTTATTATAAGATATATTTTAGTAATATCGTATATTGTGTTATAAAACTTGTTTATGCAGAAAATATATAGCGATATTATAATCACTCTGTATTAACTTGATAAATAGATTTGTCATTATATAACTAAACAATTTATGCAACTCGCTATTATAGAGATATTCAAATATTACAAAATATTCGCGTTATTATGTTATCAATCGGATAAGTTCAGGGTATAATCAAATACTCTAATTGCAAAACAAGTACTATACAAACTAGCGTTGTAACAATCGACTGCAGACAATCGATTGTAGGCAATTGAATACAATGGATTAATTTTTACGAAAAAAACAGTTTTTTTCCCTATTAACTTCATAGTTGTATAATCGAATAATATTTTCTGGGTTCAAAATTAGTTACAAAAACAATTTTTTTTATTAAACATTTTTTTTAAAAATCAGTTTAACAATCGTTCTGAAAAAATAAAATCGATTTTTTTCGATTAATCAAACTCCTTACAATCGATTGAAAAACAATCGATTATTCGATTAATAGATTTCGATGCTATAACACTAATGCAAACTCTAGCAGATAGTTTAAAAATCAAGCATGTTTGTGATACATAACCTAATTTAATTGTTTTGAATAATTCTTCCTATTTTTTATTTAAACTACGTCAAGTTATATTAAATATTTTTATATTCTTACGTATTAGTATTAAAATGGCTTTATCAAAAGGTAATTAATCAATAAAATATCTTTCTAAAGTTGTTTAAATTTCTATTTTCATAAGATATACACGTGAATAATTAATCTTAAATTGTATATTCTGTTTGTGCATAATGTAAATAATTTTTATATTTGACAGAATTGATAAATCGACTTGATTCGGATGAAGAGCCTTTAAAGAAACGTTTAAAATTAGCACATAATGTTTTTTTTGCAATCGATTTACCAATAACAAGAAAAGAAGATTTAATTTTACAATGGTTATGCAAAGTTTGCACAAAAAAAGAAGATGTATGGAGTTCTTTGAAATGGTGTCTTAAATCCGAAAATTTAAATATTAAAGCCAATATAAAGAAATCATTGATCGATGTACTTGTACAGAAATTAAACGGAAGTTCTCCTAATAAGTGCAATGAAGTTCTCGAATGTTGCAATTTACTATTTTCAAGTACAGGAATGCAACAATATTTAAGCAAGAAGCCAGAGGATCTTCAAAGTTTATTAAAATCTTTAATACATTATATACATATGTCTTTTAAAGATACTTTGAACAACAAAGATCATTTTATAGAAATTGATATAAATACTGCTAAAAATATTGATGAATCAACAATTATGGTATATAATACAATATTAAGTGTCATAGAAAATCTAATGCAAATTTATAAACAGTCTATAAATACAAGAGATGAAATAAGTATAATATTTATACATGAAGTTTTATATACCTTGTGTTCTCTGATTGATCATAAATGTACCGACAATACCAGTCGATTGGAATTAACAGCACATAAATGCATTCAGCTATTAATATTTATGAAAAATAAGCATGCACAAGACAAAATAAATGAAATTGTACTATCTGAATTATTTTTAATATTAGCAAGTAACATAAAAACAATGAATCTCCAAAATAATTTAGAAACATATATATGTGTTTTTCGTGCAGTTGTTGGATGCTATAAATCAGATACTACTACATTAGATATTATATTTAGAAAATTGATAATCTCTGCTGGAAAATATAAGAAAGAAATACTTATATCTTTTTTTTATTACTTTGGTGATACATCATTTGATTTTGAAAATAAAGTTGATGATATTACTTTATTACAATTCTTTCAAAAAATTGTAGATGATATATTATCAGTGGAAAAATTGAGTCCTGTTGATTATAAACTACTTACGAGGATAACATATTTCTATCCTACTCTCATTGAAAAGAAAATTGATAATATTATATATAAACTATATTTACAAGAACCAACGATAGAACATAATGATTTATTAATTAGTATTTTGGATGCCAGCATTTTATTAAGACAAGAACATAAGATAATTTCACAACTTTTAACAAATTTACAAGAAGCTATTACTATTGAAACTAAATCTGACTTGATAATACAATCATTTTTTTCACTTGAATTTAAAAAAAAATTTACCAAGGTGATCTCTTGTTTCACAAATTCACAGGTTCTAATAATATTAAAAATTTTGACAGATAATTTAAACAGGAGTTGTATGGAATCATTGAAGTGTAATGCAACTAGTAAGTAGCAAAATTAATATTTCTATAAATTCAGAATTTTTCACAATTCTTTTCAAAAATTATAGTAATTGTATTATAATATATTAATTTTTCTAATATATTGTAGGTCACAAAATAATAATATTGAAAACAGTTGCTGAATTATTAATTGCATTTTTCAATGGTGTGTGTATTTTTGGAAATACATCTACTTTAACACATCAACAAGAATTCTTAAGTGTTCTTAATGAATTAGGAAAAAATCTATCTGTTTTGATAAAAAAAGCCTTGCATGTAAATCATAACACAAATGTTATTGCTGTTTTATTGTCTGTTATATTATCATGGAGTGAAATACAAAATATGACAAAATATTATCTACCAAAAGTTAAGAATCATGAATTAATATTTCCTATTTCGGATGATCATTGGCAACAATTGATTCAAAAAATAACAAATTTTGGTGAAGAGGAATGCAGAAATAATATGGTATTTATAAAAATATTCTTATTATAATTTTATCATTTATCTCTTAAATATAAAAATATTGTAATATAATTTTAGAACAAAGTTATAATCCACCGTATTAAGTATTATGCCTTAATTGATTCTCCTATCAAATTTGATACTTTAATAGATGGTTTGAAATATTTTTGGAGTACTATTTTGAGATACAATTCAGAAATAATTTCATTGTTAAATGATAAAGAAATTTCTGAATTAGTATCATTACTTGTAACAGATATGATGTTAAATGAAAGTAAATTTAATCACTGGATGGAAATAATAACCAAAGAAAATTTACAAGAAAACAGACGATTTTTAATATATCTTTTATGCCATGTTCTTGTTCAAATTAGAACAATACCAATGAAAGGAGTCACAAAATCTGTTATACAGCATATTGACATAGTATGAATCAAAAACATATATTTTATAACACATTTCAATATTATTGATTATTGAATATTAATACTTATTTTAATTATTAATTATTTTTTAAATAATATTTTTCAGAAATTAATTCTATCAGCAGAATTTGTAAGAAAAAAGAAAATAAAAAAGATTTTAGAACTCATAAAAAAAGAAATACTTGAATGTAAATGGGAACAGATGGAAAATACAGCATTTAATAAAGTTAAGTTGTGTTTAGATATTATAGTTCATATGCCATTAACATTTTTTAAATCTGATGTTAAAGTTTTATTATTACTGGTCATATATACCATTAACAAAGAATGCATGGAAAATGGAGATATAACAACTTTATGCAACAAAATATTTCTTAGTAAGTTCTAATTTATATATTATGTTATATTATTTATATACTTTTATAGATTGTAAAGATCATTATTTAATGATTATTTTATTTTATTAATTATTTTATTAATTATTTTTATTAATTTTCAGAACTTTTTCAAACAACTGGTCTTGATATTTTACAATATATAGATCCTGTGTTAGTAATATGTCAATTATCTCAATCTAAAGCTTTTTCAAAAGCATTAGAACAATCATTACGAAATATTAAATCTTATGAGACATTAAAAACATTGATAAATTCATCTTCTACTCATAAAGAATCTATGTATATTTTCTTACAGTGCATAGAAAACGTAAGACAGAAATTAGATGTTGATCAAAAATCTATTTTTAAAAAAGCAGAACAGAAACTGTGTAAGAAAATATTTAACATATTACCAATAAATATTGAACTACCTTGCGATGTAAAGTATTTGACATTAATATTAAAAATTACTGCTTTAAATAAAGAAACTGAGAAAACTTTTAGAGAACGTGCAGAATTAACATTACAGAAGATATTTGTAGTAAGTGTACATATATAACAATTTATGATTTGTTATAATATAGTAATTTAATTCACTTTAATTTATTTAAAAACAATTATGAAAGTATCAACTGTATTTTACAAAGATTAATTCTTGATCTCAATTTTTGATAATATATTAATATATTTTTTTATTCATACAGCCTACACAAGAATTACATTCCAATCAGTTATTGGAAGCAGGATTACAATTAGCTGCCATACTTTTTCGAAATTATAAAGAATTTGAAATTTCTCCACAAATCAGAACACAGATATGGTCTGTAATGCTAAAGTTTCCCTGTGAAAATTTACTTCTACCTCTGATAGAATCTACTGAAGCGAAACTATTCCAAAATCTTCTAAACTTGATACATTATCAAATGGTAATTTAAAATATATACGTAAAATATATAACGTAATATATATATATATATACTAATAAATATTCGTTATATAGTTAAATTATATCTATATAATAATTTGTAATTATATTTTATTACAGATGGAAGAATTGCCTAAATTAAATAGTAACTTATTAGAAAATATTTTTATTATTTGGAATGCTATACTAAAATCAGATATGTCAGCTAAACGCAATAAATTTCGTACAATAGCAATTGAAAACTTATTTAAAAATATTCAAGTTGTAAACATATCAGAACAATATTGGTCAAGATTATTAGAATTATTTCAGAATATACTCACTTCTAAACATTTATATATATCTAATAATATTATTGATATGAGTATGAATGTTGCTTTAAAAGCCTTAGAAAAAGAAACTCTTTCAATATGTAATGATGTTTTAATATTATATGGAATTTTACTAAAAGTTAGAATGAACATAATAGTAGATAAGTTACCAGTGTTGCTATTATTATATAGACGTGTAATTAACATTATAATTCAATCGTCTAAAATTGTTAATGATAAAGTTGGAGAACATAAATGTCGATGTCTCTTACTTGATGTTGAAAAGTAAGTATATAACATATTGTGAAATATAGTTCTCATTTAAAAAATTTTTGACTTTACTAAAAAGAGATCAGAATGAATTAATTCGTAAAGATGAGAACTAACTATACATCTATTTTTATACGTAATTATTAATATCGTTGTTAAAAAAAACAAAATCCTTTTTTGATCAAAGATTCATCATTTTGCAGACTCACAATATGTTTGGTGAAACAGAAGAAGGATATGATGCGTTTAAGTCCATATGTCATAGCTGATTTGATCCAATTATTGTCCGAAGGAGGATTAATGCCTTTTGCAAAAGTAATTTTGTATATACTAACAAGAGTTATAAATTTCTAACTAAGTACTTTTAAGTACATAGTTAGAAATGAATAAGTACTTTTATTAATGATTTAAAAATTTTATAAGATTTTCAAATTTATAAAATCATTTTTATGATATATCGTTTAGAATTAATTTAATGATTTTAATAGAATATAACTTAACCAATGTTATATTAATTATTTTTCAGATTTCTTTGGAAAATATAATAGCTACATTAATCAGCATTTGCGATCAACATGGCATTGCCTTGTTGTCACGTACTCTCCCAATATATCTGCAAGAAATGTTTAAAACTCAACTTGATACTTTTAATAAATTTCATAAATTTTGCGGAAAGATTTGAAATAAAAAATGAAATTAAATATAAATATTTTATGGACTATTTAATAAACTGTCTCTTTTGTTATTTATATCTTTTTTTAAATAATATAATTTTTCATATATTTTGTTTTTGTTAAGAAATATAATAAACATGAGGAATATTTTTGTCAATAGTCTAACAACAGATTACTCGATATCATTTTGGTCTACATTCAAATACTTCAAGGTTGCATCTCCAAACGATAAATATATATATATGTATTCAAAAACGCTTCTTATAAATTTACAGAGAAGATCACATCAACAAAATTGTTTTTGCAAATTTATATTCAACATCATATTCTACTACTTATCAACTGCTTATTATAACATACCACATTATATAATGACCAATAAGAAAATGTTGAAGATTCCCATATCTATATTTCTGTCCATTATGTAAACCCACCAAAAGCACAGAATACCCAACTTTATCGACATAGGTTATTTTGTACAAATTTTAGTTCGAATTATATTTATATTCTGAGTAGTTTTGATAATTTTTAAGTAATTTTCGTAAAATATATGAAATAAAATATAAAAAATGCTTAAAAATTTTTGTTAATAATAATGAGGATTAAAAAACGTTTTGGGACAGATATAATTATTATTACTATCTTACTTAGCACACTTAGCAGTTTGTATATTTGGACACCAGTATTGAAACAATTAAAAATTCACCATGCAAACAAACAAAAGGTAAAAGTATTATTAATTTATAATGTTATATAATATTCTTCCATAACCTGACTATAATGCAAATATATATATATATATATATAAAATATTGCAATTATATGTATATAAAATGTCATTGTCGAATTTTGTAACTTAATAATTCGTATAATAATTTTAAAATATATTCAATATCTTTTTGAACTACATCCTATTAATTAATCTACCTTTTTTTCTTATTAGACAGACGAACTCTCTAATGATGAAATATGGGAAGATTAGTAAAATTGTAGTTGGATTTATTGGATTATATTTAGCTGTTGTAGGAATTAAGTGAGTTTTACAAACCATATAATAAATAAATAAAGAGAGATTAAAATAAAAATTATATATTGCTAATTTATTTTATTGATATCAGTTAACAATGATTTATTCTTTAACAGAGTAAAGTTAATACCATATATGAAACAAAGAAAGTTAAAGGATGCTGAACAATATGCTGAAACTTTATACAGAAGTGAATTTAAAAGTGAGTTTAAATAATATTGTATTAACATATATATTCGAACAAATAAGTATATCTCTACATGATTTTATTGAAATGTCATTATAACATATATATATAATAAATAACAATATATGTTCTACTCCTTAAATTTTCCTCCATAAAAAGGAATATATGTTACTATTACTTTCCAATCTGTAAAATAAAATAAAGCCATTGATGCTGATGCTCCGTATGCCATTGCAGATGGTAACCTAAAAAATTCATGTATTATACTACAATATTAACGTTAAAATAAATATCTTGTGATAACGGAATAAAATAAAAATTATAACGTGCTATCCTTAGAATATTTATAAAATACATTAAACTTTGTTCTTATAACAAAATATGATGTTACATAACTTATTTTATCTAGAATATATTTTACATGATCTTTTAAAATCTAATATTTGATAGAAATTTTATTTAGTAAATAAAATAAGCTTACCAATGTCCCGCTAGTTCCACGTGTTTCTTACCAATACGCAAAGACATTTTAATTAATAATAGCAAAATTAGAACTTGTAGAAGTTGTATCAATAGAGTGACTTTTCCTTCGAAATTTCGATCTCTGGGGAATAGAAAATAAATAGATATAAATATAAGAAGAAAAACTTTGTAAGAACAATATATAATATTGATAAAATATTTGGAAAGTATATAAACGTACATTGACGATTAAATAATTCTGACTTGTTCAAAGGAATCAATGCAGATGATGATACTGATACTCCATCTGACGATAACCCTGAAATATCTAAACGTATAAAATAGAAATAATACGAAATAAACTCATTTTCAATTTATTATAATAACTAATAAATATTGTATATTTTTATTCATTCTATCTTTATTACATCTAAATATTACAATAATATTAAAAACATGAAATAAAAATTTTTTTAAATTAATGAAAAATATATGTAGTGACAAATTTATATACTATATAAAAATATAATCATAATAATTATAAATTATTTTTTACATTTAGCTTTAATTGTTTTAGAAAAATATTCTAAAAATATTCAATTTATGATTGGTCTAATTTTTATTAACGACGAGTAAGATATATAATATCGATAATCGAATGACACAACTGACAGACCTAACTGTACCTAGCTGTTTGTATATAGTCAGGTATAGTTATAAATCAAATTATATATAAAGCATTCTACCTGACTTTTGTCAGTTTTATCGGGTTTTAATAATACATTTTAATAATAACTATTAAAATGTTTCTCGTTCTTTGCGTCACATATCTTGTTTTTTTAACACCATGTCTTAATAATGATGAACTTGAAGAACATGGCGTTAAATACGCTAATCAATGTGAAGGTATATTAATTAAAATATATTTATATTTTTACTTTTCATAAATTACTTTATTAATATAATAAAATCAAAATATAAAAATTGACATGTAAATTTAAATATTTCAAGCATCGTTTACTCCATAAATAAAAATATTGATTCAAAAACATTGATTCATCAATTCTATTATTTTTTGATTTAAAACTTATTTAGTAAAAGTAAGTTTAATTCTGACAGTACTATTTCTACATTATTTACGATTAATTTCTTTACTATTTTTTTATAGCATGTAAAATTGTAGCTACCGAATTAGAAGCAAGATTAGATGAAACAGGGAAAACGCATGACATACTTGAAATTGGGTACTCTGTTGATGATATCGTTCCTAAAAAGAGAAAAGAATATAAAAAATCGTAAGTATTAACAATATATATTTAAATCATGATAAATTATTAAATAATTATCTAATTTCTTCAAATTTAGGGAATTACGTTTAGTAGAATCAATGGAAAATATTTGTGAACGTATATTACAATATAATATTCATAAAGAACGAACAGATAGTACAAGATTTGCGAAGGGAATGAGTCAAACATTTAAAACCCTTCATGGTTTAGTGTAAGTAAAACTGTTTCATTTGAATATATATATATATATATATGTGTGTGTGTGTGTGTGTGTGTGTGTGTGTGTAATGATATCTGCATTAATATAGATATAAAAGAGATTAATTTTCTTATACATATAGGGACAAAGGTGTCAAAGTAGAATTAGGAATCCCTTATGAATTGTGGGATAATCCTTCAGTAGAAATTACTACATTAAAAACGCAATGTGAAAACTTACTTGAAAATCATGAACAAGATATCGAAGATTGGTATTATAATTATCAAGGAAAAGTTCCTTTAATGAAATATTTATGCTCAGATCGGGCACTTAAGGGACAGGATGATTCGTGTCTTGAAGAAAAAAGCGATATTGGGAAGAATACTATTAAAGAAGAAAAAAGGAAAACAAAAAAAAACGTTAATACAGAAAATGAAACGAGGAATACAAATGACATAAAGGAAGAATTATAATATAAAAAAATGAAATAAATAATGAAACGTACATTTAATTCTTTATATCTGTTTTTATATGTAAGATTTTTATTTAAATGATTTACAATAATCCATAAAAGGATATATTGAATAACAAATATTCAAAGAGTGCCATGTATCATAACTGGTTTAAATGTAAATAAGTATAATCATTTTTATATTATAAAATAAACTGTGATTATCTGTCGTTTTAGAATTTAAGATGGTTTTACTGGTATAGTTCAAATAACAGATATCTTAAGAAATATTTAATAGAGTTATAGATATAATTGTTTTAATAGAGAGATATATAAATAATATATATTTTTATATTTATTTTAATAATAAATACTAATTTTATTTCAGTTATTTTTTATAGTTTACAGTAATAGCTGAAAGTTTTATTTTCTGAAAGGCGGTGGTATCCATTTCTTTTTACCACGTAATTCTCTTAGACGATCGTATTCTTCTTTAAAATCTTGATGTTCATCTCTGAAAAGACCATAATCACGTAGATGTAACATTAATTTCTGTATATTTTTATGTGGAGGATAATAATCGACAATTTCTGGTCGTTTATGAATAGGCTTTTCGCTAAAAAGCTTTACTACTTTAAGTGATTTGGTATTTGTTGGTCTAACGACTTCACCAAAGATACGATTGCTCAGACGATTCATACGATTAGCATAGCTTGTTCCTACAGTCGCTAAATGTATATACTTATTCATTTTAATAAGATCAATGATATCTAAATAAACTTTAAACGTGAATTCTCCCAGAGTATTATTGTCTGTATAAAAATGCTTTTATATGACACCATACGAATTCTGAAAAAATTATTTAATTTGAAATTATAAAAATATTAATAATCTTATATCCTTAAAATATACTTTAAAAAACATGAAATTAAAATAAATAAACCAAATAAAATAGAGTGTACCTGATATAACCTAAGACGTTTTTAGTAACTAACAGCGTACAAACAGGTATACCACCCTTTGGGTACTGAATGTCACTAAATATTTCTAAATTAATATTTTTCATGAAATCTTGTTTATTTATTATTATTTTTTAATATTAACTTTTAATAGTTTACATATTTTTTATTCATAAAATAAGATTTATTTTACATGACTGTTTCGGTTTTATTTTGTAAAGATTAGTATCAATATATGCACGCATATCTATTTAAAAGATATTAAGTACGCACACAATAGCATATCATTCGTGTTTACATTGTTTTGTGTGATAAAAGGAATACTCGGCAGAATGGAAAGTACCTTTATTTTCCTCTTTATCGTATAAGAAAATATACAGGGTGAAAAAATGATTGAAAAGGAATCATTATTGTTTGATTGTTCGATAAAAGTTTATTGTTGAATATGGAATGATATGCTTTTTGATAATACTGGCTAGTTATATCCAAAATAACACATGATTCACTTGTTTAACATTTTGTTATAATCTATATATACTCTGTTGACAAACTTCAAAATTAGCTTAATATTATGATTTTTTCAAATTAATTTTATATTCCAGAAGCATGTTATTTTCTGGCGGTAATGAAAGACAAGCTCTTAATATGTTTTCTATAGCAGCTCGTTGTTTGAATAATGCATTTATCACAGGTGTACCTTTTGGTACTAATGGTGCTTTGCACAAATATGAGAGTATAGAAAGAACACTCTCAAAACTTCGAAATTCTTCATCCTTTTGATCTATGTGTCGGAAAGTAATGCGAGAACAAAGTTCAGCCAGCAATACCAAATCCAAAATGATCGGACTTGCCAGTAAAGAATCCTCGCAAGTATTATGTATTACAATAGTATTATGACCACCAAGCATTATTTCTGATGTGTATTCATCCATCGCTCTTTTGCTATCGCCTATGTTTCAAGACATATTCATTGTAATATTAATATCTATTAATCAAAATTATAAAAAATATTGTTAGTCATTTATTTGTAACGTACCAACATACGGAACATATTTAATAACAACGCAGTGATCTGGCTTTTCTCCAGGTTCGTACAAAATTTGATTCGATTGAACCATATCGTCTACTACGTTACTCTTTGAAATCTGGAATACATAAAATATTTATTAATATTGTAAAATAAATATTATATTGATCAAAAATTAATATTGTAGTGATTTATAGCTACATCATTTCAATTGAATCGAAGATTACCTCTTTCGAACGGAATTGTTGAGGTGCTGATAAATTATATCCATCATTGTTTCCAAGATGATTATAACTAACGATCGATACTGGTTTGATACCAGCAGACACTAAGAAGTCTACAAGAACCGATTTCAATTTTGTTTGACCAGATTTAAAATCATCACCAGCAATAAATGTATTTTGTCTTTCAGCTAATTCTATCGTTCCTGGTACAAAAGTATTCTGTGGCGAACCGTTTATATAAGTGCACTGAGAAAAACATAAAGATTTACAATATAAAAATATATAAATGAAGTAAATATAATATGACTAACTTACCCCTTCCAATGCTGCGGCTACGGCGAATATTGTACTCGGACTAATTTCAGAATGATTTTCATTAATGGCTTTTAATAAGTTGTCAGCAGTATCGTTTATTCCTGGAATAATCCTTGAAAATCTTTCGGTATTTGCAGTCCATAAAATGATTACTTGATCCAAATTTTTGGACGTTTTAAATTCCGTTATGTCTTTTCTTATACAAGCCAATTGTTCAACTTTTGTTCCATGTATAACATTATCAACTCTACTTTCCTAAAAAAAAAAACAAATAATTTACTTTAACGATAGTATTTTATAGAAATCAATAAAAATAAATAAATATAAATAGATTACTAACTTGGTTCGATGCGATGAAATCAGCATAATAAATACTTTTTCTCGGCTTCATATGGATCATATATGATTTAAGTTGTTTTTGTAAATTAATATCTAAAACCTTTGCACGTTTCATAGCATCAGCGAGATTCATACTCGAAATATCCCATCCATCGATTTCAATATCGTTCGGATGAACCATAGGTAACATTGAAGACATTGGCACAAATACATCTTGATTATTTTTGCTCCCTAATTTAACGGTGGATGCTTGAAGCAAGGAACCATACCTGTAGTTCGTACCAAACACATTTTTAATACCTTTATAGATAATTATTTAAGTTTAAATATTTTATAGTCTGATCATACCAATTGGCTTTTTTAATTCCAGTTGTTGTTTCCCATGTGAGTTTATGTTTATTTGCTATCAGGGCTGCCGTTATTGTTGTACCATTGTTTCCACCCCAACCCACTAGCATAACACCAAGTTTTGGCACTTTTGTCTGTGTTCTTATTAACAGTTTCGTCGATACTGGTCTTACCTGTAATAATACATTGCAATATTATTATCTAGATTGCACGATGTTCTATGAAAATTAAGATATAAAATAAAAATTTGTCAGGGAAGTGCTAGGCATGATAAAGTAAGAAAATCCATAAACAAGATCAACAGAAAGAATTCTTTATCGCATTATTAATAATATGAGCTATTCTCTGACTGAAGTGACTAATTCCATTTTTTTAATTTTTTTTTTAATTTTACTATCAAATTACTCGATTGGTGCTTAACTTTTAATATTTCAAATAAATTTGATTTAATAACACAACAACAATGACAAAACTTTGTATGATAGTTGATTAATATATTATGTATTTCAGTAGACAATGTTTTATTAAATTAAATTAAATTAAATGAATTATGTTATGTTATATTATAAGACTATTGCAAATAGATTAATGCGTAATATTGTAGGAATACCGATAAAAGTAGGTATCCATTATATTCCTATAATAGTAGTATTCATACGTTTTCCGACAACAAATGTTATTTGTCTTTAATCAACGGATGTTTTCTTTAGCTCAACTATTCGATGACACAATAATGTTCATGTTCACGTGTTCATTCTATTGCGTTTTTCATGAAATAGTAAACTATATTATGTTATTTAAATATTTTCAAAGTAAGAAAAAATTCTAATTTTACCAATTTCATCAATTTTTAACGATAATTTTTTAAAATAATCTGCTTAAATTTACGAAATTCTAAAAATATACATTTTTGAAAACTAACAAATAGAATATTTAATAATAATTTTGAAATAGCAGCGTTTATAAAAATTAATATAATTGTCACTACTATAAAAGAATTATAGTAAATTCGAAATATTTAATTTCCAAAATAATACAATATTATTATTGTCATTCGGCCAAAAACAATATTTCAGTGTAAAAAAAAACATCTATAAATTGCAATTAATTAACTTACATATATCTATTGTATTTATATTATAATATTTATCATAGAACAAAGTTGAAAAAATGAATAAATATACGAAGTAATTACAACTATATATATGAAAAATTATTGCACAATACGATATATTGTTTGTATTAAATTTTATTGTTGAATCATTTAGTAACATATATGCGTGATTCATTGCATACACATTAATAGCTACAGTTATGCGCGTGATCCAAACACTTTGATTTACTATATGAAATGAAATGGATTAACTCGAAGCATTACATAAAACAATGTTAAATAATACTGAAGATAAATTAAAACTTTATGTCATAAGAAAATGATTTCAATATGCAACAATACACATAATGTTTATATTATTACGACTCGAAGCCTTAGATACAACATTTAGTAATATTTAAAATATTTAAATCGCTTAAAATTTCCGCAAAAATAATTTATGAATTTACATTTTGTAAATGCTTTAAGATTCATATTGAAATAATGCATTTTCGTATAGATAAACATAAACACAGGATATCACATCATCATCAAATTTTCACGCATATTTAAAAATATTGAATATGAATTAACAAAAGAAAATATTTCAAGTAAAGTATTTGTTTTCGAGATAAAGTTATTTTAAATAATAGTATGCCTTTATTCCGAACGATAGTTTGTATAGTAAACACAAAACCATCTAAGATGGATAGTATACCCTTGTCCTAATAAAAGATCTTCAAGGACATCTGAAAAGTATGCGCGAAAGCGTCTAAAACTAGTTAGAGAAGACTAGAATCAGTGGAACAGTCTAAATTACGGTCGCGTAAAATGTGCTGACGCGTTCACATATATAAAAAATATATTAAAGTTTGCACTAAACAATTAATCGCTTACAGATATAAGTTTCAATTAAAAGTGATAACAACATATAGATTTATAGTTAATGGTTGTTTCATCGTATTTAATTCAAATTTAATCATAATAACCCATGAAAAGTATACACAAATATCATTAGAAGATACGAAAGAATTATTAACATTAGTATTAATTATATTAAAGAAAAATAGAATCGGAAGCATTCGGGTAAGAAAAAAACAGAAAAGTAGATCACAATCGATTAGTACTTACCGTGAACTTGTCAGTATCGTCTTCTAGCACATTTGTAGTCTGGTATTCGTACTCCGCCTCGATATAATCCTCTGTGTATTTTACTTTTGGTGAATCGATATGAATTTTTAAAGCCATTTTTATCTTCTTGCCGTTGATAAAATGTTGGAATTATCAAATACTTTCTTCTCTATTTTAAATTTCGCACAATTAAAAATCCGGAAGAATGAATGTATATTCGTATGTATATGTTCAGAATATTCAATGTTACGATCGATCGTAAACTGAATAGTGACCGAAGACCTTCTTTCTCCGTCCCTCCTATCTATTTGCGTATCTATCTAACCTGTTATGTACTGCATTGATATTTATATTTGTTAATTCTTATATGAAATATAAATCAAAATATTTTATATTTGTTAATTCTTATTTTATGAAATATAAATCAGAATATTTTTAATATAATTACAATTTTTTTTTAGGACTTGCGTATATTAAGAATGAAATTATAATAACCGGCGATAATAAATTTCTTGGATTATATAGACAGGCTTACGAACAAGACGATAAAGAGTGGCGTATAGAAGTGTATCTATCTTAAAAGCCAACTTCGAGGCTGAAACGTTAATGTGGCCAGGAGAGGCAAGCATGCGCTTTAAAAGTGCCTAACTGGAACTCCCCTTCCATCTACATTTGACTGGAACCTATTATATTTGGTTACCGGTCGACTTTTATTAGTCATACTGATCTTACACGTACCGAAAACGTGCTTCTACAAAGATCTCTTTCTTCCATTTGTTCCAATAAAATATACGGGAAAAACAAATTAAGAATGTATAACGAGAATTCTAAAGCATTCTTATTAAATTGATGATATTGAAATCGTTTGCCTTATAAGGCAATTACTTGTCTTTTAATATCAAGAAAAATATTAAAATAAAATTATTGTTTTTATTTATAGAAGAATTACGATCAAAGACAATTATTTATTATATCTTTATGTTCGTTAATGTATATGCTTATGGATAAAGATGATAATTTTCTTAAATATTAATAATATTCAGAAACTTTTTCACGATCTAATAATATATCATAATTTTAAATTGTAATAATAATTTAATATATTTAAGCTATTAATTTTTATTGCAATATATTAATTTTTATGTAATAATTTCACGAATTGAAATATTTTCTTTTTTTGGAACCTCAAAAATAACCTTTCCTTGCGATATGAATATGTAATGTCATGTCATTATTTTAATGTTCTATAGATCATAGTTTCAAATCTAATGACATATATATGCGTAAAGTATTTGGTACACACAAACATAATGTATTATGATATGTTATCATATAAATTATTATAATATGCTATCATACATAATATTGTTAAGAATGATATGATTAGAAAAGGTATTATATTAATACATATATAATTGCTAGAAACTATATTTTTTTTAATGAAACTAATCAGTAATTATTTTATTGAGCATAGTATAGAGAGTAAGTATCTAGAAGGGCATAATAAAGGCATCTTCCAGCCCCCGGTCGTTATTGTTAGTCGGTCTGTGAACTGTTCAATTACATCACGTGTTGCTGGAATGCATAGATTGTTTCAATCAATTGGCACTCGGTGGCTCTAGAACTTTCATAATGGAAGAATTATGTTACCAAGCTACTCGTAAGTCGACGCCTGATCAACGATTATGAACTGTAATCTGTTTACAAAAGATGATTTTATCTACCTCACTGCAAAATATGATCTCACTGCAAAACATGATCTCACTGCAAAACATGATCTCGCTATGTTTTCGATCTAATACATAAATACTTTCAAGATACTACATATTCGATATTATTTTTTGAATATTTATTACTACTAATTTATATTATCATCGATTACAAATAACGTGTTAAATAAAGATGAAATATATATCAATACAAATGAATCTAATTAATATCTCTTACATAATATAAATCTTAATGTAATAATGTAAACATTAATTAACTTTATAGAGAAAAAGACTATTTGTTGTAGATGTAATCATAATACGTGGTTGAGGTAAAAAAAACAAATTATAGCGATATCATGATCGTATCATGTATGTTTATACGATATTAATTTGACATTTGAATTTATCGTAAATATTCTCGAAATCTCGATTCCTCGAATTCTCGATTTTTCAAATCAATAACTAATGTTTCGATACATCGCAGTTTTTCTTATCGTTTATATCGTTGTATCTATTCGTAATATTTGCATGATTTGGATTTACTTTCTACGTATATCTCTTTAAATATGTATTATTTAAAATATTTACGTGTTAATAAATCGTTTAAGTGTTTAAATCGAATTTACAGGATTAATAGTGTGCATACACATATATGTACAAATATAAATTATAGATAAAGCAAATATAAATTTTTTTAATACTATAGATTTCAAGTACTGTAAACTCTATTATCGATGATTAATCGATAATGTTTTCATGTTATTTATTTCATTATACTTTACAATTATCTCTTAACATCAATCGATAATATAGAAAACACTACCATTATTACCTCTGTAAACTGATAGTAATTCCAAGTTATTTCTAATGAAAAGTAGCATGCACAAAAAATATGTATTAAAATTATCTTTGCATAATTATTATAGATAGTATCAATAAAATTAGATATTTTGTTTTAATTATTACATTTTGCTTCAATAATTCAAATATTTATAATGTATGTAAAAACAAGAGCAATATATTATAAGTTTTTAAAAAAGTGTAATCGTTTTATAACTACTCCAGCCAAACAAGAAAACAAATTTAAGTGGATAAAACCAGTAGGAACAGATACGGGTATTAAACTATACAACCCAATTACAAAGACTAAAGTTTCATTAATATTAAGAAAAGAAGGCTTCTTAACATGGTATATGTGTGGTCCAACAGTTTATGACTCTGCTCATATTGGACATGCAATGTAATATACATACTATAAGTAACAAGAATATGTATACATACATACATACATGCATATATAGTTCATGTTCAATTAATATAATTAATAAGTCATTATTAATAGTCAATGTTTGATATACATATACATTTTTAATATACATATACATGTTTGATATACATATGTATATTAACATTGACTATATTATTTCATGTATTTATTGTATAATATTATTTTTTTTAGCACTTACATCCGATTCGACATCATAAGACAAATTCTATCACAATATTTTAATATTCATACATTAGTGATAATGGGTGTAACAGATATTGATGATAAAATAATAAAGCGAGCTGTGGAAGAAGGAAAAGATTTTAAAGAATTATCCAAATTCTATGAAAATGAATTTTTTAATGATCTGGAAATGTTAAATATCACAATGCCGCATTTCACTTATAGAGTTACGGAATATATGCCACAAATAATACAATTTATTGCTAATATTTTAGTCAAAAATAAAGCTTATGTTGCAAAAGATGGTAACTTTTTTATTATTACTTTATGCTTATTCATATAATACTTATTATTTAATATTACATGTTATATAGGATCTGTATATTTTGATACCAAATCATATAATAAATATGGAAAACTTGTAGTTCCATTTATGGATACTATTTACACAGATAAGAAATCATCGTTAGATTTTGTTTTATGGAAAGCAACAAAAGATAAAGAACCATATTGGGAATCTCCATGGGGTTGTGGAAGACCAGGATGGCACATAGAATGTAGTGCTATGGCAAGGTAATATTTTATAATAATATTTATTTGAAAAAGGTAAATAATTATAAACAAATATCTATTATCTTCTTATTAAAATGTACATCATATAATTAAATAGTGCAGTATTTGGAAAAACAATAGATATTCATAGCGGTGGAATTGATTTGATGTTTCCACATCATGAAAATGAAGAGGCACAATCCTGTTGCTATCATAATACAGATCAATGGGTAAATTATTGGTTACACTGTGGACATTTATGTTTAAAAGATAACATTAAAATGTCAAAAAGCTTAAAAAATACCATAAGCATAAAAAAGTTTCTTGAAAAGTACACAACCAATGATTTAAGAATGTTGTGTTTACTTTCTCACTATAGGAATAGTATGTATTTGCAAACTATTTTATTATAATTATTTAAATTTAATAATCTTGTCTGTATATTTATTTATTTATTTTAGATATTATATATTCTGATGATGTGATTAATCATGCTGTAAATGTAAGAAATAAAATAGAAAATTTTATTAATGAATGTAATAATTATTTGACTGGTAAAATCAATAGTGGTAATATAGATGAAGCTTCTTTGATTCATGTGAGTACAAATATTTTATAAAAAAAGGAAATATAACATTTTTTTAAACATATAAATTCATTTTTATAGAATTTGCATGAAACAAAAAGTATAGTACATATGGCTCTAGCAAATGATTTCAATACTGCACAAGCAATACGAGCTATTTTAAATCTTATTGACATAGGTAATAAAATGTTTTCTCAAAATAATGTAAGTATATAAAGTTATTTTAGTCTTTAAGATAATGTATATAACTGATATCCCATAATCAATTTATATTTTATACTTTAGAGTACTCTTAATGACAAAGGTATAACTGCAGTTGCTGCAGTTTCCGTATACATTTCAAATATACTTTCCATCTTTGGCTTTATAAAATCTAAATCCTTAGTAGAAAATCGAAAAACCGAAGATATTATCAAGTACTTTGTGGAATTTAGAAGTGTGGTTAGAAATAGAGTATTAGAGCAAAAACAAAATGACGAACTTTTATTACTTGCATGTGATACAGCAAGAAAGAATTTATCTACTTGTGGAATTACTGTGAAGGTAAAAAATTATTATTATTATTATTATTATATAAGAAATAAAATTATTTATTATATTTCATTTAAATGTAAATTCTCTGTATTTGTAGGATCGTAAAAGTGTGTCTACATGGGACTACCACAAATTAACTTAAAATAAACACAATTATATATAAAAATTATTGTATAAATTGAAATATAATGCTATAATATACTTTATTACATTATCTTATTTTCTATACTTTTTAATTTTTTAGAACTACTATCATTATCACTCAAATTTTTTCTTTTCTTACTTTCTTTCTTTTCAGCTAGTGTTTTTTTAAGACCTTTTAATTTTCTTGTCTGTATTTTATTAATATTTTGTGTACCAATATGAATACGGCCAAAAGTAGTTCCAAAAACATCCGTTGAAATATTCTTCTTTTTCTTTATCTATAAATTTATTATGATTTGAAAAAGCAATTGTTATATTAAAGTATTATTACTTATTGCTACAAGTAATTAGAAAAAGTAGTAGTATTATTACCTTCAATTCTTTTGGTTTCTTACAGGCCTGCTTAAAATGATCAGCAGAAGCCAATTTACTACGTCTACATACCAAATCAATAGATGGACCAATTTCTTCTAATTCAATACGTGGAATTCTAGAATCTGATTTTTTTAAAAGTATCCTAGAATAGTAAACAATATGTTAAAAAGGAAGTAATAGTAATGATGTGAATTATAACTTTTAATTGATGTATTTTAAACAACTTTTGATGTTGTTTGAATTTTTGCTTCACCTGTAACTTCGTACATATATCTTGTTCTCATCAGCAGTAAAACTCAACACATGTTCTAGTCCTTGCAATCCGATTTTTTGAACTACTTCTCGTTGAAACATATCAATAAATAGATTTTTTATTCTATTATATTGTTGATTATTTTCGAAAAGTTCACCATTAAAAACTAATAATGGTTTTATTCCTATTGAAATCTTAGGAACTTTGAACTCTTTTAAACTTTTATAATTTTCTATACCAAGCTCCATCATGTCTAATAAAGTATGTTCATACATTCTACCGAATATAAGATTGTGTGGACGTTTTTTATTGTGTGAGCCAAATATAAAAAGTGGTGCATTTAACTTCGACGAAATTTTTTCAATAGTTGTCGCATCTTCAAATGGAACTATATCATTCTTTTTTTGCATCATTTGCATATCAGGTTTTTTGAGTTCATACTAATCAAACATTTTTATATTAATCTTACAAAATATCATTTATATATATAACATAAAACGTTGTTAAACTTACCAAATCTTTCATACAATCATTGACAATTTGAGAAGTATTTCTACCTTTAATACAAAAAGCTTGTTTAGCATCTTCAATTAATTTTGGTTCTTTATTTAAAATTGCTTTTTTTCCTTTATGGGTAGTAGGTTTACTATAACATCAATATAACAATAATAAAAATTGCTTAAACATAATATTATAATCATAACAAATAAAATGATTCTACGAACTTACACAATTCGAGTTATTACTGGCATTGTGAGTCGTATCTTAATAATTATAAACAAAACTATACTAATATAGTTTTAATATTTATAATGGCATAAAACCAATTATCATATACTTTAACTATCAATCAACATGTATTAAGAATTGATCATGAAAACATATATGTGTTTCCATAACCTTACATAACTCTCAAATTGCATTAAACACACGTGAATATATCACACATAAATGTGAACATAAACAAAATATTTAATAGATATGCATATCTCTATTCTAGGTAGCTATCAACATGAACTATTTTTTCTACGTTTACAAAGCTTTACAAGTTACATAGTCGATGGTTATATCTATTTTAGCTGATTCTAATCATTACAGTTCTTATCAGTCTTCTTATCAGAGTTTTATGTCAATTCGTAAATTTTTAGGATATAAGCATACAAAATAAATTTTGACAATGTTATTTAAGCTTATTGCACTGTCAAGTATTTTCGAGATCGTACATATGTTATTAACGTTATAGCCAATATTTCAAAAATATAGTATTTTATATATCAGAATTGCAAAGAATAAATTTTTTAAGTATAAGAAAATATGTATTTTTAGTATGATTGTAAATATAGTTAAATAATTATATTGAAACATGTATACATCTACTGAAATTGTAATTAAAACGTCTGATAATAATACGGATTTTTACATCGGTTTAGGATTAGCTATCTCTTCTAGTGTGTTTATAGGTTAAAAATATATCAATTTAATGTATATTATTTGTGCATGTTAATTATAAAAATTAAAATAAAATAAAATATATTTTGTTATTGTAAATCATACAAGTTTATTCTTGTAGGTGCAAGTTTTATTATTAAAAAAATAGCTTTGATTCGACTTCAAAGATATGGAGGATTACGAGCTTCTTGTGGTGGTTTTGGATACCTTAAAGAATGGATATGGTGGGCTGGTTTGATTTCAAGTAAATATATTTTAATGAAATCTAAAATTAGGAAGATTGTATTTATAATTATTTTATTTTTAATATTTAATATTTTTGTATTATAGTGGGTGTAGGAGAAGCTGCAAATTTTACTGCATACGCATTTGCCCCTGCTTCTCTAATTACACCACTGGGTGCTCTAAGTGTTTTAGTATCTACAATTTTGGCATCAAAGTATCTTAATGAAAAACTTAACTTACTGGGAAAGGTAAAGAAATGTAATAAAAAAATAACAAATTATATATTAAACATAATATTTTATACAGATTGGATGTTTCTTATGTATTCTGGGTTCAACAATAATAATACTTCATTCACCAAAAGAAGAAGAAGTTAATAGCTTGGATGATCTTCTAGAAAAAATTAAAGCACCAGGCTTTATTAGTTATGTTTTGATTGTAATATTGTGTACTTTGGTTATAATCTTTTATTTTGGTCCTGTATATGGAAAGCAAAATGTAATTGTATATATATTTTTATGCTCATCTGTAGGCTCATTAACAGTAATGAGCTGTAAAGGAATAGGATTAGCATTGAAAGAAACTATGTCACTTTTTGGTGCTTTTTCTAATTCGTTGACATGGGTATTTCTCTTTAGTGTTATTCTTTGCGTTACATTACAAATGAATTATTTAAATAAATCATTAGATTTATTTGATACCACTATTGTTATGCCAATTTATTATGTATGTTTCACAACATTAGTTATAGTAGCATCAGCAATATTATTTAGAGAATGGCATAATATGAAAATTGAGGATATTGCAGGATCTTTATGCGGTTTTTTTACGATTATAATAGCAATATTTTTATTGAATGCTTTTAAATTAATAGATATTAGCTACAATAACATTAGACACATTTTAAGACCAAAGAGAGAGTTAATTGCTAGCTCAATTTCACATTCAAATATAAGAGATGCAGAACGATTAATGTCCAGAAATTCCAATATAGATCATTCTTATGGAGCACCAGATATAAACAGAACTATATAAAATATATAAATAATCAGTATAAACAAAAAAAAACTCAAACAGGTTAAAATTACAAATAAGAAATAGTAAACTTTTAATATTATTTATTTATAAGCGTTTTAAATAAGCTAACACATTCATATTTATTTTTAACTATAGAGTAAAATTATGTATAATAAATCGTATGGTGGTTGTGCCTAAAATTGTATACAATACAATTGTATACAATACAATTGAAGATCTAGTCTAATTCAAATATTATCTATTATTGTGATAATATAATATTTTAGTAATATATTATTTGTACATAATTGAATTTAAATTTTCTGTGATATTTTTTATTTCCTTTTTATTTTAAAAGTAATAAAAAAAAATATTTAATTTCAATATTCACTTTTGTATTTATTACTTGTTATCTATTTCTATGAATTACAAGTTAATATTTGCAAAATAAAAAAGAATTCAAAGACTAATAAAAAATATCCGAATATTTAATTGTCATTATTAACAATATTCATAATTGTTATCTTACAATCAATTAATTTTTTTTGTTTTTTAAAATTTAAATTATTTATTCTAATTTAACAAATTTATTAATCAATTTTACAACTTGGACAATATGATCTAAAAACATATAATAAAGTATAATTATTTATATAATATGTCTTAAATAAAATTTACAATTTACTCCAACATTACAATCATTTTAAGTATCTACATTGAACTTTCCCGCGCAATTAATCGATTTATGAAATTCATTGTATAGTAACTTGTGCTTTTATATGGACTTGCTGAACGTCAAGAGAAATCGAATTCACAATGGCATTCAGTTTGGCTGCTTTTTCATACATTTTAGCTTTAATTATAGATGCATTTTTAATATTCTTTGTAATATTTCATGTATGTGTGATTTAGTATAATTGAGAATATATGTTATATGAAAAATTTTTATAGCATGAGCTTAGACTTTAAACCAATCTTATTTGATCATAACCTAAGAAAAATATTTTAATAACTTCTACAATTAAATAATGAACTTTTTTAGGTTATTGCATTTGATGAACTTCAATCTGGACAGAAAAATCCAATTGATCAGTGTAATAGTTTAAATCCGGTAAACTATATACTTTATTAGTTTATTTAGAAGTTATGATTCTGTTCAATTTATTAATTATTATTCATTTCTATTTCAGTTAGTTCTTCCAGAATATGCTCTACATATTTTGATAAATTTTTTATTTCTAATAAGTGAACAGTGGTTTTCATTATGCCTTAATATTCCATTAATAGCATACCATGTATGGAAATATTCAAATAGACCTGTAATGACAGGACCTGGCTTATATGATCCAACCAGTATATTAAATGCTCATGACTTGGCTATGTACCAACGAGAAGGATGGGTGAAGTTAGCCTTATATCTTTTGTCGTTTTTCTATTATTTATATGGGTAAGTTTGTATATTTAATTTTCTTTATATATATTATACAAATTTTACTTATATTAATAATTCAATTAATTTTTTAGTATGATAAGTTCACTGATTCATTAAAATTAATGTGCATTGTGTTATGCATAGTTCTTTACTTTGATCCTAAAATGGTATTGAACAACTTTTGTGATACTTCAATGCTGTTTTCAACATGGATATTTTCAAAGTATAAGGGAAGTTATTTTAATTTTATTGTAATAATGAACATTTTTTTAATAAAATTAAATAAAAATGTTATTTACTTTTCTATAATTTTCTTATTGCATAACAAATTTCTGATAATGATAAACTGAAAACTATATAACAAAAATCAAATTTATCAACATCAAGCAATACGTGTAATACTTAATGCATTATCTAAACATGTACAGATTTTAGATTCTAATATGTTAATCGATTCGGATTTTAATTATATTTAATTTTGGTAATTAAGTCTTATTATGCAATTTAAATATGGCGCTATTTTTGTTGGTATTTTAGTATGTTTCTTGAATAGCTAGATGGCACAAAAATTTCTTTTCTGTCGGTATATTAGTTGTCAATAATACCGAGTAAATACGTACAATTTAGTTTGACATATTCGAGATTGCAACAATAAAATTAATATTTTAATAAAATATATCAAAAATATTATGTTTACTCCGTAGGAGGGAAGATTAAAAACAAAATAATACAAATTCCCGTACTAACAATTGTAATATTGCAATCACAATACTCAACAGCTAGTAATTTCTTTGCTAGGAATTTGTACTTAATCTTTAGTAATTTGTCTGCTGTAGTATATATCTTACATATAACAAAGATATTTTGTTTCCTGGCCGTTAGCGATACATATACGATTCCTTTTCGGTTAAGTAATGTATAAATCACATACATGACGAATGAATGTATATGTAGGTATTTTCTTACGATAAAACGTATGAGGATGAAACAGAATAATACAGAATGATATAGATTGATATTGCAGTGAAGTGAATGTCTAAGTTTATGTATAAATAACGTTATATATATAAATTGCATTTCAAATAGTTTTCTAATTGGTGTATTTATAAAAAATCTGAGATATTTTGAAGTGATAATATTATACAATTTTAATCTAAAAAACAATTCATGCAAGATGATTGTGTCTGCTAAACACAGGCTTTTTTTATTAAGTTTTTGTTTTATACTAATGCATACAAGTACAGCACTGAACAAATATTCTGCTAAAGCAAATAACCCTAAGGTTGAAGATGTTTTGGAATTTCCCATGTCATTACGAGAATTAGATAAACCATTTCGAATGTCAAAATTGAATATACTTTGGGTAAAAGCAAAAAACGTTAGTATTAAAAAAATTATATTATTTTTATAAAAAAAGAAAGATTTTTTACTTTAAATAATTTATTGTTTTATGTAGCGTTTGACAGATGTTAAATTACAATCGCTATTTAGTGACCTAAAAATCCATGATAAAGAAGAATTAGCATTTAAACATTATAAATCTGAAGAGAAGGATTCAGATGGTTTAGAAGAAGCAAGATTGAGAAAGAAATTAATTGGTAATTTTGTGTCAAATACTCTTATTTTCAAATATATAATATTGAGGTATGGCATTATTATAATATATAATTTATTATATTTTGTTTTTAAGGTATTATGAGTACATATGATTTGTTAGAACACTTTTCTGATACAGAAGATCCAATGTTACTTAAGAAATATAAAGCACTTAATGATGGTAGCAATTATGTTGCTAAGGATGTATTTAAAGATTCAAAATTGAATAAGCTTTGGGCTAAAGCTGAATTAGCTGGCTTTACTTGTATGTATATTTTATAATATTTGTCTTAAATAATAGAAATGATATTAAGACATTTTTATAACTACTTAATTATTATTTTATTGAAGTATAATCAAATAGTACTATAATTTAATTTTATTATGTATTTCAGATGAAGAACTTAACACATTAAAAGAAGAGTTTGAACATCATCAAGAAAAAGTAGATGAGTATATGAGTTTATTAAAAGATATAGAAGCTGGAGATTCTGAAGTACATGAGAGTTCGTATTTTATTACATATTAATGTTTTTGTTTTTTTTCCATGTGAATATTTATTATATATTGTATATACATATCTTGTAGATAGCTTATTAGAAAAGCCAGACAGCTGGAATGTGTTAGAAGAGGAAGAACAATTATCAAATAATAATGTACCTGGAAAAAAGTTAGATTATTTAGGAAAAGCAAATTTGCTTAGGTAAGTATTGTAAAAAATTTCTTAACTTGAATAAATTTATACTTAACTTTGTTAAATTTATTTTAGAGAAAAACATTTAGAGCTTAGAAATGGTTATGATCGTTTGGATAGATTAACAGCTAAAGGACCTAATCATAAGGAATTTATAGAACCAAAAGTGCAAGGACTTTGGAGAGTTGCATTGGAAGCTAAATTTCCACCTAATGAACTTGCTTCTCTTAAGGTAGAACAGACACGAATAGAATAAGACAGAAATTTTTCTTTAAATTTATTATTTATCTTTTACAATAGTATTGTTTTTTTATTCCCTTAATGTATCTATATGAAATGATGATTTATTCATGTTAATTTTAAATGTATTTTGTATGCTTATGATAAGTACTGAAAATCTAATAAATTTTCTATTCTTTAGGAAGAACTTTTACATTATGAATCACGATTACTCAAATTAAGACATCTTCATACTGAAGCAGCTCTCGAAGCTGCACGCAAAGGAAAATCATATGATTTGGATAATTCTACTTCACAACAACATATAAAGAAACATGCTAGGACAGTTCAAAAGCTTCATATGGATCTTGAGGCAAAAATTATGCAAAAACATACTGAGTTATAATTTTTATAAGATTTTTTAATAATTTCTGCGATATTTGTTTTTAATGATTGTTTGAACAAATACCAACGAACCTATGATAAGTATATAAATATCCGATTAATAGAAGTTTATATCTGTTATATTGTAAAATTTTAACTTGTAATTTAGATGTATTGTTTATATACTCATATATATATATGTGATATATCGTAAATAACAATTTTTCAAAAATAAATATGTATTTTGTTGTATAGTAAACTTTTTATTATTATATTGCCTAATTATTGAAATGTAGATATTATTACCGTAATTTTAAATGTGGATATATTCATTGATTAACACATAAGTGTTTCTATGGAGATGGTTTTCTTATGCTTTCTATTTATGTGTATATTTCTGTTATCAATATATTTGATGCTATATTAAGGAAAAGTTATAAATTATAATCTTTATAATTACAATTGAGGAAGCATTAATTTTATTACATAATTACAATGGCAACATCAGTTAAAGAACGTATTATTCTTGCTGTAGATACTCTTGTCAAATATGACAATCCTACTTTGGTTACAACTCATCCAGAAAAGGTAATAAAAATTTCTTTGTATTAATATACACATTTTATATATTTCTATACGTAAGACAAAATATAATATGAAATAAATATTTTAAGACAAACATATTTTCATACGAAAATATAACAAATAAAATAATATTTCGATTTATCCAAATATATTTTTAATCAGATACGTAAAGAGTTAATGTTGGGTAAAGTAAGTACTACTACTTGTAAAGTTCAAACAACCCCTCCTACAGCTGATGTACGTCTTGAAACTGTTGAAATTTTAAATGGAATTTTACCACCTAAAGAATGGGAAAAAGATGGACAAATATGGACACAGCAAGTATACAGAGATTTAGTTATCATGTAATATTTTTTTGAGGGGAGCATTTTCACAGTAAGTATAATGCTGTATTTATAAATTTGTTATACAAGGTTTCAAGTACTCCTGCTACAAGATTGGATGTTATTAATCTACAAGAACAACTTGATATGAAATTGCAACAGCGACAAGCAAGAGAAACTGGAATTTGCCCTGTACGCAGAGAACTTTATACACAATGTTTCGGTATGTTTTTATTGTTTCAATTAGAGAAAAATAATAAAGTAGTAAAACAGAATATTTCAGATGAATTGATACGACAAGTTACTATAAATTGTGCAGAACGTGGTTTGCTATTACTTAGAGTAAGAGATGAAATCAAAATGACTTTGGCTGCTTATCAAACTCTATATCAGAGTAGTATTGCATTTGGAATGCGTAAAGCTCTTCAGGTAATTGTTTTAATATTAAATTGTTTAATTTTGTATAATCACATTATTATATATTAGGCTGAGCAAGGTAAAGAAGATTTAGTTGCAATAGCGGATGAATTACGCCAACAAAAAACAGAATTAGAAAATGCACTCACAGAATTGAGGCACAAATTCGATCTAGCAGAAAAAAGATCTGCAGAATTAAAAGAAGCAGAGGAAAAAAAATACACAGAAGAAATTCAATTTCTTAAAAAAACAAATTTGCAATTGAAGGTAATTGAATATCTTATATTGCATATTTTATATATTTATTATATTATGTTATCTTTTTTAGACTCAATTGGAAGGTATTATAGCGCCAAAAAAATAAATAATAACTATACAAAGAACAAATCGTTTTTTGTTATCTGTTATAATCAATGCAATATGATCTAAATATTAATAAGGTAAGATACAAATAGAAACATAAAATAATGGGTATATATATTAGATTTAATGATATATTATGAAATGAAATATAATTAATTAAAGAAAAATATATATAGTGCACTTTTTTCGCGAAATGGTTGATAACTGATTTGTTTCATTAAAGATATTGTGGGATAATATATTTTTAAATATAAATATTTAAAATAAAATAATTGTTTATATTATGATAAATACAAATCATTTCTTGATAGGTTTTTCCACCTTTGATACTGTGTTTACAAATTCGTTTACGTAATATTATATTATTATAAAATGTATACAAATTTTTCATTAGAAAATACTATCTTTATAAATATACTTTGATATAATGTATTTAATAATGAATTTTACTAATTTCTTCTATTATTTTGTAGCATTTAATACTAGGTTTACAGGCGTTTCTTATATACCTATCTCTACGAACACCCGTCATATTAACAGGTAAACGAAAATACGCATTTTCTTTAAAAAATTGATTTATTCAAATTGAACAATATTAAGCTTTACATATAAATAAATTATTAATAAGTAAAAAGCCTTTTTTTTTTTAAATTATCACGGAAATGATAACAATAATATTAACGATATAGGCTACTTATATTTATTGAGCACATTTTTTACAAATATACTGAATTTTATTTGTGCATTTTCCACATACGATCTTTTTACAATATATACAATTATTGCTTCTATTTTTTTTGCAGTAGTCCATTTGGCAACTTTTTCGCACTTCTAACGTTAAAGGTGACAGAAATGAAGACTAATCTTTGGCAAATGTTCTCCTTGTCTTTTCCAGCTAATTCCTCGGCTAAACAAAATATGAACTCCTTTCTGGATATTTTCGATCTGGTGCACTCTTTATATAATATCCATGCGTTTATCGCTGCCAAATCTAAAATATTGAAAAAAAATTAAAGGGGACATCGGAAACTCCCTGCTTTCACACTACATTTGCGTGCCATCTGGTCAGCAATGTCCACACCAAACTTTGTTTTATTATAAAAAGTAATGGTTTCTGTTGACGTTTATAATTGTCTTCTACTTGTACATCTGTATGCTTGTTACTTAGAAGGAGGACTTTTACGTTAGGTTTACTTTTATACACAGTAAGCGTGCAATTTTCTGATTTATATAAGTGTGAGGAAAACTAAGTCATCTTGTCCTTTTTTTCATTCGCTGGTTTTGGTAGTTCTCTTTTGTTAGACCGGATGGTCCCAACCAAGGTTGTTTTTTGCAAGCAATTTTTTAGCTAGCGAGATGCTTGTAAAGAAATTGTCTGTCGTTATATTTCTGCCTTGTTATAGATATAGTTCGGCTAATTTTAATGTTACAAACTTGCCCAACGATTTTGAGCATCGAGTTTCATTTTTCCCCATATAAGAGAAACTAATCAAAATATATTTTGTTTGGACGTCAACTGTTAACCAAAATTTAATGCCAAATTTATGAGGTTTATTCGGCATATATTGCGTAAATCTGAGTCGGGCTTTCATTGGAAATAACTGTTCATCTATTGAGATATTTTCATATGGCTTATAACAAGCATGGCTATTAGTTATATATCTGCTCTATATTTCGGATATCAACGCAAATTTATCTGTTTGTAATCTTTCGGATCATTGTTTTTTTTTGCCAAGCATATGAATCTCAGAATTTCTGTAAATTTATCTCTGCTTATTGTGTTTGCGAAGAAAGTGGGTCCCCATTTTTTCAACATAGATAAGAACCTTTCAATGATCTCACTTCATATGCGTCCTGGGCATATATAATTCCTAGAAAACTACGTAACATAGTAACTGAGATTGTCCAATCTTTTAAAAACTCGATGTATCTCCGTTTCAGTGGAATATTTTATGTGTTCCATTATGTGTCTGTCAATTATCAATTTGAAAGCACTAGTTACACAACCCAACATAATATTTTTCTTGGCGTAGCCAGTAGCCCCTGTGATATCCTTGAATATCATACGAACGAGCGTCCTACCCCCAGATCCGCCTACTTTCAGTTTTATCCACTGTGTCTCATTAACTGCAATTTTAATTTCGCCCATTACATTTTGGAATGTGCTTGGAATGCTCGTCCTCTCATCCTCGGAGTCAGTACTAGAAAAAATATGTATCCTTTTCGTATTACGACACACTTTCAAGAAGTTTTTCTCTTCACTATCCGAAGATCCTTCTATATCTCCACTTTCAATGTATTTAAAACTTTACTCTCATCTTCGGTTTGGCCTAATTCATACTGATCTTCTTCGAAGGTATCCTCAGAATAATCTTCATTGCTGTTGACAATTTTGTTCAATATCTTATTATATCTTCTGGATTTTCTTATGATTGCTAGAAAAGGAGGATTGGTAAAAATAAAAAAATACTGTGCCTAAATTCAATTACCTTATTGTAAATACTTATAATAAATGGAAACTGTCTACAATAAATGAAACTTTTGCACACTGTCTTTGAAAAACGTTCTTACTCTGTCACTGCAACAATCATACTGAAGATCGCCTCTTGTTTTAGAGTTTTTTTCGGCGATAAGTATAAGTGATTTCGTTGAAGACAAAAATAAAAACTCAGGCCATACAATCCGTTTTTTTTATCAATTTGACGGGTTTCGTAGAGATAAGTATACTACATACAAATTTAAAAAATTAGAATGCTTAGGAAAAAAATTGTGTGTATAAATTCTTTGGATGAAATGATTAATTTACGATGCAAAATGGTTAAAATTAATGCTATGGTTTTTTGGATATTTCATTTTGAAGTTTGGAATCCGTCAAATTGACGGGTTCCGTAAACGTAGTGTTAAAATAATAACTAACATTTAACTATAGTCATACTTTATTTGTATAAATAAATCTGTTGAATTGTATTCATTTGTTAAAACAGAATATAAAGTTTGACAAAAGTATTACTTTGAGATATTACGTTTACAAAAACTAAAATTATTATAACATTTTTGTTGAAAACTTGTTAAAACATTTTCTTGGTTTGTTCCTTCTTCAAATATTTTACTGTTAAAAAATATTGAACTATAGGATTTTTTATTAGATTGCCAATTTTTTCATCGTATAATTTAATTGTAATTGACAACAAAAATTATCACATGAATAAACCATATCATGTAATATAGAAATGTATATCATTAATTTCAGATCGTTTTTACATCATACATTTAAAAAACCAAGTTGTCCTTTGTAGATATGAATAGCACATTCATATTAAAAACTGTTTATTTTATTGTGTAAGTACTTAAAGGAATGACA